CTGCCTCCACCCCAGCTTCAAATTCCATCAACCCTTCATCCCTACCGTCATCCAGACCTCCCTCTACGCCTCGGACACAATAAACTCTGCCTCGTCATTTCCGCGTGATCGCCATGCGAAGTTCTTCATCCACTGTTACCGTTGCAGGAGTGTAGCGTGCATGGTAAGGGCGCTGTTCTCTCTTTGTAGTCTTCAACGTTGACTTCATCTTCAAGGGTGCCATTCACTCCTGTTACCGTAGCGTGGCCTCGTCGAATTCGTCTTCGACCCCACTTCGTCGAGTTCAACTTGAAAAATAATGGAAACCAGCATGACAGACTACGCCCACAAAGCAGCCGCCACCGGCTCCATCTACCTCTCTAGCATCTCTGAATACGACCTCTACTGCCACTACGTCCCGGGCCTCGACGAAGGCCTCTTCCGCATCTTCTTAGCCTCGATAAGGAAGCTCCTGGCAAGGCTTCCAGCTCCTACTCTCAAACTCCATGGGCCTCCATGACTTTCGTGAAGATGTCGATCAGCAACGCTATTTCTAGCCCCGGGAGATTTTTGGGAAGGAGGAGTATGGGTTTCGGGAGATAAAAGACCTTTATGAGCCTGCGGCTTTGTAGACAGCGACGTGTGTGCAGAGTGAGTGGTGCTGGATGCGTGTAATTCGTTGGATTTTATATTGAGGACTTTGAAGAAGCAGAGCGTGGTCATCTATTGTGCGATTCCGCTTACGAGCCGCTCGAGTTGTGTGTCATGAACCTGCGGTGTTTCAGCGCGCAAGGTTAAGAATACAGAAAATGCAGTTCTATATACAAGTCATGATAGTCCACGAAATTCAGCTTGATTCAAGGCTCACCTTGGGCATTCCTTGCGCTGTGTTGTAGTGACAATCTCCATTGGAGCAATCAATTATATATACATTAGATCGGAACGTCTCTAAGTACGTTGCACGCTTGCGGAACAGAACTTGACCCTTCGGAATGAGTATACACGATGATGCCAACCAGACATCAGGTGGCCGCCTGCTCTCATTCTCCATCTTCACGTCGTCGTTGAGAACAGTGTGCGCGAGCATGATATTGAGCTTGCAAGCTGCCAAGTGATCTCTCGCTTTCCAAGTTCATCTTATGTTGCGCCTCTTAGTCCCACTGAATAGCAGATCGAGGTGTCTACGACAGATCATCACCGCAGTAACGTTCAACAGCCCCGTTTCTGTGAGCGCAGAAACTTGACAAGAAGTTTCTCGGGACCGATCAGTCATACGTGCTCCTTCGAACTCTGAGCGTTCTGGTCGTTCCGAAAAATCGTTGAACCGAATTCCTGCCTCGTGATCGCTGAGCCCGTTCTCCGCCCCAGGTAGCACGATCGGAGACCGACGAGGCTAATGCCAGCCCCTTCTTTCTCTCGACGAACAACGAGTTGGACTTGGGAGTTTCCGAGCGGGTAGCAGGCTAGCAGCAGGACTACACAGAATCAAAGGCGCGGATGGCCAAGAATCCTCCTACGTAACCGTGTGGACAGGCTTGCGGGTTCTAAGCCTCTTAATCAGCTATAAGTAAACCAAGTTTTATCCAGCAGCATCGCAGCAATAGACATTTCTGAAGAGAAAGGCATCAGAAAATGAACTCCATGTGTGTGTACGAAACACGGAAGAAGACGACCTAAAGGTGACCGACGTGAAGATGATCCCCTAGCTGTGATACCTATTCTTCCAAGGCAGATGTCGAGCGCTTTGTAAACCTTCGTGCCTCCATAGAAGGCTCCGGTAGCGTATCTGCACGGGACACGGTGTTGTTACCACATAACTTCTTGGGATGTTCTGACGTGGATGCGTCTGGAATTCGAAGAGTTCGCTTGGGAGGGCTGTGGGTGAAAGGTGAGACGAGGGTAGATGTTGTTGGATACAACAAATCAGCAATTAGTACCTGTGTACTCTGGATACTAAGCGTCGACGTGGTTGGGATTCTTAGGGTTGGTGAAGTCAGCCTCATCCTAGTAATCGGTGAACAGTGGTGGTGATGATGGTCACTCCAGTTGCAAGGATATCAATCGCATTCTCCGAACTCCATCTAAAAACATGGAAGATGAGGATAGATTCCAAATTACAACGTACTCACAAGGAGAGGGAAGCCCTAATGTGGTAAAGTATACAACGACGGATAGCAATGACAGAGAACTGGGGGTACCATTGTTGAAGGGCTTGCGGAAAGATAAAAATGAATTAGATAATCACGCTCATCCACTCTTTCCCCTAGCTTGCGGTTGAAAGTCCTCTGCACTCCCAACGATTTCCCGCTGAACGGCCACTTCTTCTCTCTCTCAGGGGTTTGCCCTTTGAAGTTGAAGAGGAGCCTTTGCCCTGCTGTGCGAGCTATTCCTCGACGACGCCTCGACTCAACCATATCCGCGACCTTTCCATCCTGGGCAGAAATGCATCCCCACAGCTTGATGGTCGTGAGATTCGGACAGGTAGTCTCCGATGGGGTGTCCTCGATCAGTTGGTCGTCCCCACCACCCAGAACGTTTTCTGACGAGATGGCTGATGGGGTATACGTCAACCGCCTAAGAACCTCCGTCATGCACAGATGCTCTTGGTGATATTCCGTGATAGACAACGAACCCAATGACTTCGATATCTGTGGATATACCAGGCACGCCGCTATCTCTGAGATATCACACTCCTGAATGATAAATTGCTTGAGGGTGCAACCTGAACATAGGAGGAATGCAAGGAACTGGGATCGTGGCCACTGGCCAAGCTGTATAGGGGGGTCGGGTGAGGCTCCATGTCATTCGGAGAGCGACAGATCCTTCAGAGCTGGCAGAGTGACTTTGCCGAAAAGAACTGCCAGGTTACCTGCAGTACTTATATGTAGGCATTCTAAAGTGTTGTGGACAAATGGATCGTCGTTGTCGTCGACGGGAAACATACGAAGAAAGAGCGTCAGCTCCAGGGATTTGAGATGAGGACAGATCGCGAGGATACGAAGACCCTTGTTCATAGTGGCAATGGGGCCCTGCGAGAAGTGTGTGAGCTGCTTCCATGGAAAGGCGAGCATTTTGTACGATTTCTCGCTCAGCCGGGTAACGGAATGGAGCCGTGGTGCGGAGACCATCATGGATTTGATGCGGTCTAGATCTTCTTGTGCCCACCAGCAAGTATACCTCTTCAAGTAAAGGATACGTTGTGTTCATGGGGAACGGCAAGGAAACGAACCCAACTATATCAGGCGATGCATCACTGTATCTCAGGCGGACTCTCTGCCATCGAGAGTGATCGGGAATGAAGAAATCGAGCATGGACGCGACTGGTGATCCAGCAGGGTGCTCAGAGTTTGTATTGTCGTGTGGAATGGTGGGCGGCATCTGATCAACTCCTGCATGGCTGCTGTTAAAAGATGAATCTCTTTCTTCAAGCGCGAGGGCTCGAGTAAATAGGGTCGTGCATGCGAGCATATTCCCAAAATTTCGAATAGAATCCAGCAGTCGCCCAATCAATGATCGCGAGCCAAAAAACATTGTTTGGGTTGAAGAAGCCGCCGTGGGCAAAAGACATGGACACCTCGCGGGGTAAGGCAGCGAGAATGTCTTCAACCAAGCAAAGCGCAATATCATGGCCCAAAAGTTGTTGATGGCACTCGACAAAGTCTGACTCGCTGAACAACGCTTGTGGGACGTGCCCTCCAAGGTGGCCAGGACTCGTTGCGATACGAGTCACCCGTTATCGACCCGACGACGGTTGGCTTTTAATCGCTATCTCGGCTTGAATAGATTGCAAGTGGGAGCAACAGTATCGATTTCCTCTGGAGTCATTCTATCAATACTTTGTCCAGCGAAACGCCAGGAATCTTTGGTTGACATGTTTCTAACCCATACTCGCAGACGTACAAAATGCATCGTGCGTTTTAACAGAGCAACATTGAATCATTCCTAGACATCCCATATGATCAGTAGGTAGCAACATATAAATCAATACACGCACCCTGTGTTGGCTACCTTGCCTGTTCCCGTTCAAGCCAGGGTGAAGATAAAGATGCCAAGTCATCCCCTCCTCGTCTTGCTTCGCAACCACGTACGCTCTAACTTGAAAAATTGAGCGCCAGCACTTCTTCTCGTTGGGAACGTCCAGGATTTCAGCAGCTGTCATCCCGGCTGGTGGGTATCTGGTATCCCCAAACTTCCGGAAAATAAGGTTGTCAACACCGGAAGGAGAGTATTAAGTTCCGAGCACGCTCATCGACTACCGCCCATTCATTGGGATTGAACCTAAGTTGTTGAAGGTTAACGTTAAGCGCCACTTATTGAGCGAATTTCATTTCGTTGAAAAGCGTACTGGGATGGAATGAATCAAAGGGAATTTGGCCAGGCGAAACATTGCCGACTCGTAAATGATGAAGGAAAGGACAAGAATCAACGCTTTGATCGGCGAGCACGCGCGGTACCTTCTTGCTGAAATTCCACGTTCACGGCGAAGAAGGCATCGTTTGGACCTATGGTGGTAGTGAACAGGTGAACGTTCTAGACAACTCAATCAACAAACATACGGCAAACATTACGACTCATTTCTCCTTATCATCCACTCCTCAAGTTCGTCTAACATCATGGCCTTGAGTTGCACCACAAAACAGCTTTGTGACAAAGGTACGCCTCTCGAATTTTGGACTTCTTTCTTACAATGTCAAATTGCTACACCCACAGAAGTGCGAGATGATCAAGTCCTGCTATGTAAAGGCCTATTCACAGGCCACCACTCTGGAAACACACACAAGTCTTCGTACACAACCAGTACGTCAGCGTAAAGCAGAACTCGTTGAAGCACTATGCGA